AATAAAGACAGGAAAGTTGGAGATGAACGTTTAGAATAAAGACAGGAAAGTTGGAGATGAACGTCTAGAAGAAAGACAGGAAAGTTGGAGATGAACGTCTAGAATAAAGACAGGAAAGTTGGCGTTGAACGTCTAGAATAAAGACAGGAAAGTTGGAGTTGAACGTCTAGAAGAAAGACAAAAAAGTTAGCGTTGAACATCTAGACGGAGAAAAGTTGATCTTATTGCTATTACATATTGCATTGTTAACAAAAACTTCAACAAGATCTCAAAAAAGGACTATCAGTTGAAAGGGTTGAAAACGGGGCATCAAGGAGGGGGTTTAAGCGATGAAAGGGCTTAAAGAAGGGTAAGGGAATTGAGGGTTTTGGTGTGGGTTTGAAAGGGGGGAGTCGAGTAGAGGAAAGCAACCACAAGGAGGACCCATTCTCAGAGTCCACTCAGGCGGAAATGTTGTTTATGATGGTCGCAAAATCTGGGGCGTTTCCTAAATGACTACCGTCTTGCAAGAGAGCGAAAAAAAATAAGGCTTATGAGCTAATTTTGGTAGTTGCTATATACCTCATGAATGGATCTTTTTTTGTTATTGATAAATTGTTTATAATTTTATAATCTTTATTATATGTTTATAATTTTATAATTTATTTACTTAAATGTTACCTAATTTTATAAGCTAATTACCTAAATATCTAATTTTAAGTTAGTTATCTAAATGTTTACCGTATTCTCTCTAATAGAGGTGCACTCGCTAATAGTAGTGCACTCTCTAATGTATAGTTAGATAGTATTGCGGTTCAGGATGGGGTTCAAAAAATAGTAGTGCACCCCCGAAAATTTGAATTTCTGTTTGCTTCTTTTTCATCTAAACCTTTTTGACTTTATGTTTATGTGACATTTCTAAAGCTATTCAATCAAGCAAAAGTGAGGCTTTTTTTATTCATTTATTAGTTAGCAGAAAGTTGCTAACTAAAAAGTTAGCAAAAAATCTAAAATTGTTGTGCAAAGTGCAAAAACACCTTTTTATTGTTTGTCAAGACACAAATGTTGTTTGTCAAGACACAAATTGTCAACTCGCCGGCCCACAACTGTATGTCAAAAGGAGCCAAAGGAGTACGTGAAAGAATTGCAAGAATTTTTGGAACAAATCTTATATCTGTCTTACTTTGGTAAATGATAAAACTCTTTAATAGTACTGCACTCTCTAATAGTATTGCGGTCCAGGAGGGGGTTCAAAAAATAGTAGTGCGTCTCTCTAATTCTCTCTAATAGTAGTGCGCACTACTATTAGAGAGAATACGATATTAGTTAAGAAATGTTTATTAGCTAAAAAATGTTTATTAGCTGTGAGAAAATCGTTTTAAAAGCAAAGAACATCAAAGGAAATCTGAATTAATATCAAAATTTGTAAGCTGAATCAAGTTTTTAGCCTTGTTTAAGCTGTAATACGAATTTGAGAACAATTTTGATAGTAAAAAAAAAGAGTCAATGATGGGGAAAGAGATTTGAGTCAATGATGGGGCAAGAGATTCGGGTTGATCCCCATTGCTGGGTTGGATTTTGAGTCGAGTTGAGTGGACTTCCCCTCACCCAATCTCTTCTCTTTTCTCTTAAAACTAAGAAAGAGTTGCCGGATAAATCACAGTGAGCACGAATAAAAGCATCGAATGAAAAAAGAAAAAGAAAAAGAAAAAAAAAAGAAAACAAGAGAAAACAAGAGAAAAGAGGGGAAATCCCAGAGATTCCCGGAGAAAGGGACACACTCTCTTTCGTCTTTTTTTGTGTTCTACCCCCAAATTGCCATGAATCCTTTATCTTGTCTCTTTAAACTTTTTCAAGTTTATCTTTGTAATTACCATTGATTAAGATAGATTTTTTTAGAAGCAGACGGACAAACAGACACTGCTGTTTTATACATATTAGGTTGGCAACTTAATAATGACGCGTTTATGTAACAAATCATTTATTTCAAAAAAACACAAAAGAAGAGCTTTCAATTCGAAAGGTATTCTCCATTAGTATCTATGACTTCTTCCCATCTTCTGCGCAAATCCCGGATCCCATACTCGAAGAACTTGGGAGTTTTTGAGGCGAAGTAGTCATTCACTGCTTTTATGACCTGAGCATGATCATCGAACTTTTCTCCCTCCAAAAAGTGCTTCAGCGACCGAAACAAAAAGTAATCTGAAGGAGCCAGATCAGGTGAATAAGACGCGTGGGGCAAAACTTTCCAGCCAAGTTCCTCGATTTTCTTATAAGTGATCTTTGCAGTGTGAGGTTTTGCGTTGTCGTGTAAAAATCTGACTCGCTCCGGTTTGAGCCCCAATTTCTTCGAAGACTCGTTAACTCTCATTAATTGCTTCGAATAAAGAACAGCATCGACGGTTTGACCAGGTTTCAGCACTTCATAATGCACCAATCCCTTGAAGTTCCACCAGCAACAGAGCATTATCTTCTTCCCATGGATATCAGGTTTGGGAGTGGTTTAAGGGGTCTGCCCAGCAGATAGCCATTGATTTTTGCGTTTAACGTTCTCGTAGTTGATCCACGTTTCGTCAGAAGTCAAAACCCTGTGAAAAAAGTCGTTTGATTTACATTTTTGTAGCAAAATTGAGGCGACATTTTGTTGCTTTGGGTCAGTTCGTGAGGAACCCATTTTCCAACTCGATTCTTTTCCCAAGTTTGTGTAAATAGTTTTTGATTGTCGTATGGGATACTTCAAATATTTCTGCCAACTCACGAACGGTGAGTGTTGGGCAATCTTCAATTAAGGCCAGCAAGTCATCGTCGACCACTTCTGGAGGATGTCCTTGGTGTGGCTCGTCTACGAGGCTTTCATCGCCGCCTTGGAATCTTTGAAACCATCGTTGACATTGCCGAATGTGTATACTTTTCTCCCCAAAAACAGTGATGATCGTGCGATGAGATTCAGCCGGTGATTTTCCTTGTTTAAAATCGTAGAACAATGAAGCTCGGATACGGAATTTTTTGTCCTCCATTTTTTGCCAAAAAGCAAATGATGAAATTTGGAGCACTAAATGTTATTTATGTAGACATCTTTTACTTTGTATATATGCAAAAAAGAGGGAAGAAACGGCGCTTGAAATTACAAAAAACATGTTAAGTAGTGACGCGTCATTATTAAGTTGCCAACCTAATAGTAGATTTTTTTATTATTGAATCTAACACTAGTCTAGTAACTAAACTGAAAATTGTACAAGATCTCAATAATGTCCTTTACCTTGTCTCTTTAAACTTTTTCAAGTTTATCTTTGTAATTATCATTGATTAAGATAGATTTTTATCATTTAAATAATATAAGAATAAATAAAATAAAAGAATATTATTGAGATCTTGTATAATTTTCAGTTTTTCAGACAATTTTTGAGCATTTTAGGGTAAAATGGTTGTGTTTTGAAAAGAAAAAAGAGAATTTATGAAGTAATTTTGTATCAAAAACAGTATTGTAATTGATAATGATAAATAGAGCACGGTAAAACGTATCCTATTAGTTTTATTCAGTTATTCAGACATTCCAGTTTGCATTCAAGCTTCTGCACCCTCAAAACAATCAAAACTCCAAAATTACTGTGATTGAAAAGAGTCATTGAGAATATTTTCTTGAAAAATCACATTTAGTAGTGTGTGTAGTGCTTTTTGCACTCTTTTTCCACTCTTTTTTTCCACTCTCCACCCCAAAAATCATATCCTTTAGCGTAATCGAGTTGTTAGCCCAGCCTTTTCAGCAGTTCTGCTGTTTTTCCAATAAAAAAGAATTTATTGACAATCTAAAAAAATACTATATACAACTATAAATAAACAAATTCAAAGCCAAATAATAATAATCCTGAAGATAAAAGAAATAAAAGAAATAAAAGAAATAAAAGAAATAAAAGAAATAAAAGAAATAAAAGAAATAACAGAAATAAAAGAAAAGCCTCAAAGAAAAGTCAAATCAAACCCTTGAGGCGCACCTGAAAATAAGGACTGCTGATATAAAAGAAAAAAAAACAAATAATATACATAACCCGCTGATTGATTAAGTTATTTAACTCCCTCCGGGGAAGGGGAATCCAGTGCGTCGTGGTGTAATGGTTAGCGCAGTTTGCCTGGTAAGCGAAAGGTCCCGGGTTCGAGTCCCGGCGGGCACTTTTTCTTTGAGCTGCCCTGGAAAATCTATTAATAGAGAATTGGTTTTAAAAAGGAAAAAAGGTTGGGTAAACTGAGTGCGCATGAGAAAGAAAAGTGTTAGTGATTGAGCTGCTAAAAATGGAATGGAGAGGCGGTCAATTCTCAACTTCTTGCATAGAAAGCTATTATTTTTACATCTAAATCTATAAATAATAAAAAAAGTATGCTTTGCTGAAAATTGACTCTAATTATCGTAGCTATTTTAACAGAAACCCATTCTAAAGTCTGGTATCAGACCAATGGCTGACTAGATTTGTTCTAAATTTGTATCACTTGATAAAACCAAGTTTGTTCGTCTGTTTGTTCGTCTGTTTGTCCGTCTGCTTGTTCGCCAGTTTGTCCGTTTGTTTGCCCGTCTGTTTTTCCGTCTGTTTGTCCGTCTGTTTATCCGCCTGTACGGGCTTTTTCTCAACCGTCTTTAAGCCAAAAAAGAGATCTAATGCCTTCATATTACTGGAATTTGTGTAAATGGCCAGATGGCCGACCGGTTAGGAGTCTTGTCTCTTAAGCGGAAGGTCGAGGGTTCAATCACTCTGGCAAGATAAAAATGTTTCTTTTTCCCACCAAGTGGGTTTTTTCTTTCACAACATTTGGGTAATAGGGGTAAATAGGGGTGAGAACGGCCGCAGTGCCATAAAATTGTGTGTTTAACCTTTATGTCTTATTATGTACCCTTTGTTTGTATCACATTATTGGTTTTCAATAAATGTATTTTCTTTTAAATCTGCAAACGAGCCAAGGTACTAGATTAGCCAAACTTGCAAGATTTCTGGGCTTCTATTAGAATAAATTACGATTCTCTCTCTTATTCAACGAAAATGATGCTCCATGTAGGGCAACATTTGTTCGGTGAGATTTCGGAGGAAAAATTGAAAGCCAAGAAAAGTGGCTGCTCCGACCAAAAGACACAAGTAGTGAAGACCTGAAAAATGGGCAAATTTCAAATAAAGTACTATTTAATTTATTGTAATTTATTTTTAAAGATTTAAACTTTTCATTTCCTAGGTTATTTTGAAAAAAGAAGTCAAAAATTTTTCTTTTTTTATAAAAATCATTTTACAAAATTAGACGTGATTTTAATGCAGAAACCATAAAATAGTCACCAACTCGGCTCGGCCGGGTGCACTACTATTAGAGAAAATACGGTATACTGTACTGAGTAGTGACTAGAGAAAGGCATCAAGTCAAGGTGGCCACGAGGCTTTATGGAATCGCGAACGCACTATCCACTGTGCCACTGGCTCACTTTTTTTACTGGTTGGCTGAAACCCTTTTCTTGCTCGGTACCGTATTTTCTCTAATAGTAGCGCACCCAGAGCGTCCCCTAAATTGCTCGAAGTCTCGAGAACCGCTTATCAGAACCTATTGATGTGGGGTCGGAAAATGTAGCTGACGATGAGATCTAGTGGGGGATTTGAGTGTTGAGTTTCTGCAAAAGCTTGGAAACCATAAAATAGTCACCGACTCGGCTCGCCGGGGTGCATTATTAGTAGAGAAAATACGGTAAACGAAAAACAAACTTCTGAGAGCCAACATTAAAAGCCTTTTGTCCATGACTGTATTTACAATAAATATTTGAAAATTAAAAGTTTCAAATTATTTGACATATCTGCTTGCAAAAGATTTTTGATAGTAAGTTCATTCTCTTTTCCAATCAAACCTTCATGAACGGAATGGGTTTGTTGAAGGAATGACAAAGGTAAGTACATCACCGAGAAGAGAGATGCGAGTGCAGTCAAAAGCTGTAAAGCAAAGCTGTTTATTTTGTCCCATTTTTTTCTTGAAATTCTTAAACTCCGCAACTATTTTAAGCTCATAACATTAAAGGGAAGCTTCCTGATTTCCTCTTTTTTGAATGACTAGCTCGTTGGATTTTTAATCCGTTGAATTTTTAATTTTAATTTATTCTATCTGGTCCAACCTTGAGGCAAAAGTCTACTTTTGGCGACTAGGCGTGGCTCTTTTATCTTGCATCCCGAATCTGCTTTCTCTAAATCCTCTAGAGCTTTTTTTTTGTAAATCGTGTGATTAAAGTTTGGAATGCCCTTCCCGACAAGTTTCGTTTGATCTCCACCGTGTCTGATTTTAAAAAGGCTACTTCGTTGCATTGCATTTTAAGTGACTTTATGATCTCTTATCTAGTACATTTTTCATGTCGTTTTCGCACTTTATTTCTTTCTGAATAAAGTATTTATATAAAAAGGGCACAAAAAAATGTAGAAAGTTTGAAGAAAAGTCAAAACTTTCAAGTTTGGGATGAACTCGGTGATGGTTTGTGAATGAGACTCATTGCCTATTCATTAGCCCATTTAAAAACTTGTCTAAAGGCTGGTCACTTCAGCTGAAGAAATCTCTGGTTTTTTTATCTCTGATCTCTTTTTCTCTCACTCTGACTTTTTTGACGAAAAACTCGAAATATAGTTGAATGACCAGCTCGTTGGATTTTTAATTTAAATTTATTCTATCTGGTCCAACCTTGAGGCAACTCAAAAGGTCTACTCAAAAGGGCATAAAATGTAGAAAGTTTGAAGAAAAGTCAAAACTTTCAAGTTTGGGATGAACTCGGTGATGGCTAATGGTTACTTGGTCGTCACCGTGAACGCCTTTTCTAAAAGGTCGGCTAAAAATGCTCTGAATTCTGAATCGTTTTGAATTTCATTGCTAATATGTTGTTCATTGATATTTTGAAATTTTAAAACAAAACTTTACTCTCAAAAGTTAATTTCGTCTACCCAGAAAGCTTTTTATCTGCACCTATAAGCCTAAACAAGCTCAATTTTGCAAATTCATTTTTCAACGCTTTCTAACGATGAATTTTTGTGCTGTAATCTATAGAAATCTTTTATTTTTGCCTTGAAATCTTTAAATCTTTAGATAAACAAGAAAATTTGGATTTTACATTAAAAATAAATCTATTTTTTTTTTGGTTAGACTAATTTCCGCAATTTTTTTTTGCGCAATAGGGTCATTTACGCAACTTGCCATAACTTTCTTCTAAGTCGGTCAATCTTTATGGCTTTGGTTTCATCTTGTTACACTTATTGAGATCTACAAAATGAAACCAAAACCATAAAGATTGGTCCACTTAGAAGAAAGTTATGGCGAGTTGCGCAAATGACCCTATTGCGCAAAAATTGCGGAAATTAGCCTACCCCTTTTTTTTTCAAAAACTCACCACACTCAACAAGAAAGCGTGTAAGAGCACTTCGAAAAATGAGCCAAATTTTCGCCTTGTTAACAATAAAATGAGAAAAGCTAGTGCCAAGCCTGTAAAAAAAGATAAACAAATTGAAAAAAAATAATAGAAATATTAGGTTGGAAAGAAAGTTCTCGAAAAAAGTGTCACTGAAATTTCTTGAAAACGAATCCACCAATTCAAGAACATTTTATTCTACTATTTATTCTACTACTATTTAAAAAAAAAAGCGTATTGCTCAGTGTTTATGCTAGCTTTACCTCCCTTTTTAGAAGTCGACTCCAAGAAATTACTCGTAAAAAAGAAATGAGCTTTCGCTTAAAATTAGAGATTTTTGTGAAATTGTTGTTTCCCAGGTTAAATTCAGATCACTTTTTACACCAGAAAAACGATTTTTTTATAAGGTAAAGCTAGCATAAACACTGAGCAATACGCTCTATAATAGTAAAAAGAAGCTTAAAACTCCCTGAACCGAGTGCTGTAGGTAACCGCATCCATATGGTGAACTGATTCCCAAGACCGGTCCCCTCCGCTCGGGAATCACCAGGGATCCTAATGGGTAGACTTGACTAAGGCGCAAGCTCATATAAAACGGGTAGCCTTCTCCTCCTACATCATCTCATCCTCAAAAACGATCGAATATCCCTGAACCGAGTGCTGTAGGTAACCGCATCCATATGGTGAACTGATTCCCAAGACCGATCCCCCCTAGGCCCCCTGCAGCTTTCGCTTAAAATTAGAGATTTTTATAAAGTTATTATTTTTCAGGTTAAATTCAGATCACTTTTTACACCAGAAAAACGAGGCAAAGCTAGCAAAGCTTTTTATAAGGCAAAGCTAGCAAAGCTCTTTATAAGGCAAAGCTAGCAAACCCTTTATATAAGCCAAAGTTAGCAAAGCTTTTTATAAGGCAAAGTTAGCAAATCTTTTTATAAGGCAAAGCTAGCATAAATGAGCTCTATAATCTCTATAATCTCTATTTTTGGCCAACAAATCTTTTACAGAGAAGCTGTATTTCACAAAAATCATTTTTTTTAGTGACATCTTGGCACTTGCTGGCGTTTGCTAAAATATGTCATTCTGGAAAGTTAAATCATTAGATAAAATTTGCCTTAATCATAAATTTTCCCCTCTTTTAAGTAGTTGATCTTAGGTTTGTGAATGAGATTCATTGCCTATTCATTAGCCCATTTAAAAACTTGTCTAAAGGCTGGTCACTTGAGCTGAAGAAATCTCTGATCTTTTATCTCTGATCTCTTTTTCTCTCACTCTGATTTTTTTGATCAAAAACTTTTATGAAATATAGTTTCCCAATTGATGGCTTGTTTTTGAGATGGCTTGGTTCTTGATGGCTTGGCTCTTGAATTGATGACTTCGTTCTTGGCTTGCTTTTGAGAAATCACTGAGAAACTTGTTTTCCGAGAACTTTCTTTCCAACCTAATAGAAATGAAATATTGTTGAAAATTTGTTGAAAACTTGTGATATATCAAGAATCAGCACAAAAATTCTTGCCTTTTAACAAACCTGAGCAAAAAATGTGTATATAGAGTAAAATAGTGACGACCGGCGACGCGGAAAGCATGATTTGATAAAGGATCCTGAGATTTTCGTTTATATTTTTGATTTCTAAACTTTACGCTGACAAGAAATAGCTTTCTAGATGAAAATTTATTTAATAATTTAATATAATTTAATAATTTATTACTTTTGAGGGTTTTATTTGTAATTTTAAACAAACCCAAAGGTTAATGTGCCGAAAATTTGTATCACGCAACAAGTGATCGTCGCTGACAATAAAGAGAAACCGCAAACTGAAATTGAATAAAGCTGAATTATAAATGAATAAAGCTCCTCTAAAGTTAAGGGAGAACAAGCATTATTTAGAATTTACCCCAATCCGAACCAGTTTTAGGTTAATCAAAGGTTAATCAGTTTAGGTTAACAAAGTATGGTCGGCTAGAAGTTTTGATTAGATCGAAATGTACAGCAGTTGGAAATACGGCAGATCAAAAACTTACTTGTGCACGGCCAGGACTCGAACCAGCGACCTTTCGCTTATCAGGCAACTGTGCTAACTATTACACCACAATGCACCTGATCTCCTTTACTCCAGAAGGAGTTAACTCGAGACCTGTGAAACCGTCTGGCCCAGAGAGAAAGGAAGTTAACTCCCTCTGGAGTAAAGGAGATCAAAGGTGTTGTGGTGTAATGGTTAGCACATCTGGCTGGTAAGCGAAAGGTCGGGAGTTCGAGTCCCGGCAGGGCGCAAGTTTTTCATCTGCCCTAGTTCCAACTAATCAAAATTTTTAAATGATCAGTAAAATCTTAAATCTTAAAAATATTCTATTCTTTGCTAGTTATTAGTTAGAAATTTTTGGAATTGAATTTCATTTACAATTCGAATTTGCGAATACTTACCAGAAGTATTAGATATAGGCGAAAAAGGTGAACATGGCGAGTCGGCCTCGGCCATCTAAAAAATATATACAGTACTGGACAATGAAATATCATATTCGAAAAACGATCGTCACTTTCGTGCGCGCTGAAATGCGGTCAAAAAATACGGTATTTCTAAATATTAATATTACCATTGTGTAGCCCTTGAAAAGAGCTTTCAGAAAATGTATAACACTAATAGTTTAAACTCAAAGACAAGGAAGTTACAGACGTGTGAATGTGACGATCGTTTTTCAAATATGATATTTCATTGTCCAGCACTGTATATGGGTAGCACAGATAATAATAATACTTTATTCAAACGATAAAGTGAAAGAAATCATAGAGAAATGCACAGTGATACTTAATCATACAATACATACTGAAATCAATAAGCCAATTACTTATAACGTCAAAAGAACCAAGTTTTCCCTTTTAAAAGCCTTAAAGCCTCTACTCACATTAAATAAATTATATACCGTAAATGCTGTATTAGAATGAAACCCTCAAATAGAATAACACCCTCAAGTTTAATTGTTTTTTGTTTTGTTTGTTAAACATGTTAATTGTGTTTTTAATAGAATATGTGTTGAATGAAGTTCGTTTTTTAAAAATTAATACTTTTTTGTGATCCGTAGTGACCATTCGAGTGAAAAATAGAATGACATCCTCTAATAGAATGACATCGTCTAATAGAATGACATCCTCTAATAGAATGACATCCTCTAATAGAATGACATCCTCTAATAGAATGACATCGTCTAATAGAATGACATCCTCTAATAGAATGACACCTCTAATAGAATGACATCCTCTAATAGAATGACATCCTCTAATAGAATGACATCGTCTAATAGAATGACATCCTCTAATAGAATGACATCCTCTAATAGAATGACATCCTCTAATAGAATGACATCGTCTAATAGAATGACATCCTCTAATAGAATGACATCCTCTAATAGAATGACATCCTCTAATAGAATGACATCGTCTAATAGAATGACATCCTCTAATAGAATGACATCCTCTAATAGAATGACATCCTCTAATAGAATGACATCCTCTAATAGAATGACATCGTCTAATAGAATGACATCGTCTAATAGAATGACATCGTCTAATAGAATAACACCCTCTAAAAGAATAACACCCTCTACTAGAATGAAGCCCTAGGGGAGTATTGAAAAATAAAATAAAATATCATTCTAATACACCATTTACGGTAATAATAAATCCTTTAATAAACCTAAATAAATAAATAAATAAAACCTAAATAAAACCTAAATAAACCACATAAATAAAATAACTCAAGATTAAGCCAAAATAAACGACGAAAAATAACCAAAGATGTAGCCAAAATAAAGCGCGAAATTCGTCTTTTCGTTGGCCAATGATTAGAAGAGTGAAGAAAAAGGCGAATATGGAAATTAATCGCAACATGGAAACCGGAAAAAAAAAAAAAGGAGAAAAGCAATAGAGTTATAAAGCCAACAATCTAGGTGTGAAATACGAAAAAAAAAGATAATGAAATGAATGAGGGTGGAGGGGTGGGGATGAGGGCCGCCGACCACCCCTCCCATGGGGCGCTCACCCACTCTACAGATTGCCAAAGTGGTCGAATTAGGGGCCTCCCTGCTCACCGGGCCCCGTCCCCGTCCCCCCCTCCCTCCTTCTTGCTTTCATTTTCTTCTTCAACTCTTTTCTTCGGCTTTCTTCAGCTTTCTCTTCCTCTTCTCCTTTCCTCTTTTCTCAGCTCTTTTTCACTGCCAATTCGCGGAATCCCGATCGTCTTAAAAAGGAAATTTCCTCCCCATCTCCTTTTCATTCCTCGCCAACGAGCTTTCCTCTCACTTTTTGCGTTTTCTTTCTATCTCCTCTTCTCTTTGGAGTGCAACTTTAAGTGACCCTGCCCAAATTTCGATTAGTGCTTTTTTTCCTTTTCATGAAGAAGCTACCTGTATCTTATTTAGTAACATTTCTAGATTTCTAGAAATGATTGAAAGAAAAAATTCGTTTTTTGGTTATTAAACAGCTTTAAAGTTGCACTTTGAGCTTTAACAAATAAAGATTTCATTGGGAAAAGAATGGCAAACGTTTGAATCAAATTGATTCAGATGAGAATATTTGTAGACGAGAGTCTGGGATGAAAATGGCCAAAAGTGCGCTGTAACTCGAGAGCTCTCCTCCCATCCATCCATGCCACAATAAAGGAGATTAGCACCCGCCAGGGAAACAGTTTTTTTTCCCCTCTTCATCACAAAAACATTATTTCAATATTTCAAATTAGTTTCTCTTGAGGAGAGCTCGAAGTTTTTTTGCGAAACGAGCGAAACTATCTGGGGAATCGTTAAGCAGCTCATTAAAAGTTGATCACAGAGAAATTGCTGACTGACTTGCTGCCTTTAGAAATAGATTCCCAAAAAACCTTTAACTCTTGGCGGGAATCTCGTCTAAACTGAGGCAAGCAATTGTTAAAGGTTTTCTCAGAGTTGGGCAAACCAACTCTGAGAAAAATTACCTTTATCATTGGAAAGATTGGAATGTTTTCTAGAAAAAATTATTGATTTGTTTAACTAGTAATAAACTAACTGGTAATAACTAGTAATAAACTAACTGGTAATAACTAGTAATAAACTAACTGGATAATCTAAAACCTGATTGTTGTTTGTACTAGTAGAATACGATCTAGTAATGAATAGGTCCTTTAAAATTCTCCAAGACTATCAGGAAAGTATAGGAATAACGGCTGGGAAATTGATTGCTGAAAATTTCAATGAAAAAGATTCCTTCAAAAATGCTTGTTATTTATTAGCGGGAATAGATGGAATGCAAAAAAAAAAGCAGAAAAAAAAGCGACACCGCGTCCAAATGGTGGATAAAAAAAGAGGGGAGAAAGATGAGAGTGAGTGTAGGTGTATCCAGAGCAAGAAGAAGAAGGAGAAGAAGAAGAAGGAGAAGGAGAAGGAGAAGAAGAAGGAGAAGAAGAAGAAGACCACACACGCATATTTCCATCGAAATCGACATTCAAGAGATATCACAAGGTGTCAAATCGTGAAAATGGAAAAGAGGAGGGGAAATTTTCCGACTGACTTCTCAAGGTGCTAATTGCTTGAATGAGTCGACCCCCAAATTACCCCCCGCCTTTGCTTCTTCTTCTTCTCCTTCTCCTTCTCCTTCTTCTTCTTCTTCTTCTTCTTCTTCTTCTTCTTCTTCTTCTTCTTCTTCTTCTTCTTCTTCTCCTTTTCCTTCATCTTCTTCTTCTTCTCCGATTCTCCAACTCTTTTCTTTTTTTTTGGTAACTAATTGGTAATTTGTAAAGATTTCCCCCAACTAGGGACAAGATTTTTTGATTTTTTTCAATTTGTTTATCGGATTACGGTGGCAGCAAAGCATTAGCATTTTCAAAGAAATAAAACAAGAATACTGGGCAGTGATAGCTGATGAGCTAGTGCTTTAAAAAAAGTGAGTGAAATAGGGTTACTGTAAAGCTAATGTCTCTGGGTTAGTGTATTCTTTAAAAATGACCAAGCACAATGATGCAGTATCGTGGCGTGATACAGTATCGTGGAGTGGTACAGTATCGTGGAGTGGTACAGTATCAGGTAAACCACTCCACCTGATGCATCACAAAGAATCTTGTAAAGAACATAAGTTTTAGCTAATAAGCTATAAATTAAGTGCTGCATTATTAGCAAGAATTTTAAAATTCCCCCGAATTCTTCTCCGTTTACTCTAAATGAACAACTAAAAGATGAGAGTTAATATGTGCGAAAATTTACATTCAATCCAAATTTAAAACAAAACAAATCTTTAAGGAATGATGACGAAAGGAAAAAATAAATGCATGTGTGAATGGTGGTTCTTGGCTCTCTCACTCATCCATTTTTTTTTTTTGAGGAAAAGTTGGCCTAGAAGAAAATGGCCTAGACTAGAATCGAGAAGATTTATTTTTCTTTCAAGCTGGCTACAAATATTTCTTTGAGCCTTTAAACTAGCTTAGAATAGGAGTGGAAAGGTTTAGAGAGGTTTGGAGAGGCTTGGAGAGGCTTGGAGAGGTTTGGTGAAATTTTTTCTGTATGAGACTCCAAGATCATCATCATCATCATCATCATTCCGAGAAGTTTGAGTAGAGAGTCACTTTTGCTGATTTCATTCTGTAGATCTTTTGCAGATCTTATGAATTTGAACACTTTGATCGTTCTCAACTTTGATAAAGTAAAGGAATGTAAGAATTTCGGTAATATGTTTTTAGGTAAGAATGCGGTCAGCATGCCAGCAAGTTTGATAGCTGCTACTCTGAGTCTATCATTGAGCTGCAGCTGAATATTTTAACGCAAAAGATTTTCAATCTAGTAGCTGCTTGTTAGCATTGTTAACAATGTTAATTTACATTTTTAACACTACTCATTAACTAAACTTTTTGGGGTAGGCTAATTTCCGCAATTTTGTTTGCGCAACAGGGTCATTTGCGCAACTCGCCATAACTTTCTTCTAAGTGGGTGAATCTTTATGATTTTGGTTTGATTTTGTTACACTTATTGAGATCTACAAAATGAAACCAAAGCCATAAAGATTGACCGACTTAGAAGAAAGTTATGGTGATTTGCGCAAATGACCCTATTGCGGAAATTACCCTACCCCAACTGTTCCACATCTTTCTTTATCAATCTTTACAGGAATGCAATTTTTAAATCAACGAATCTGGCAATTTAAAAGGTAAACTGTTTCAAGGCTTCTTTTTGAAAACTTAAAAACAAGTTTACTGTTCAAGAAAAAAAGACGAAAAAAAAAAATAGTTGTATGGAAAAGAAGGTGAGCGCTTGTGCGAAAAGTTTGTCGTTTTTTGCCTCAGTAACGAGCCGCCTCATTAGCTGTGAAAATTGGCCTCACCGTCTCGTCTCCTTTCCGTCTTTCACACAATTTCCTCTCTCATCTCTCAAACACTTAAAACATCTGAAAGTCGCAATCGAGCAGAGTGCCATTCTTCATTTTTCACAATAGTTGAATTTGTTTTCTGTTTAACGGGGAAAAAGAGAATCGAAAAATCGAAAGAGCATCAAAATTTTGCATTTCAATAGTCGAAAAAAAGCATTCTGAAAGTTATTATTGTTTAGCACAATTTGAATTTTTTTTTTTCCTATGGATTTATGATAGGTTACAATAGTTCTACAGGTTAGGTAAATTATCCAAGTTGAACAGGTGATCAAACACTAGCACTTTAATGTTTCAAAAGTTTAGTAAAAGGATGCAAGTTTAGAAATTTAATCGACCAAAGAGTGAGAAGAAAAAGGAGAAATTCGGTCGAGGAATAACCTTATTCTCAAAAGGTTATTTGAAATTCACTGTTTAGCCAATAGAATAAATTTCTTTAGTGAAGAAACAGGTCGAAGAGCGATCGGAGACGGCTCGAGCTTCGGAAACGCCGAATAAAAAGCTGTCAGACGATGGGTAAAGCTCTTTTTTATACGTTGGATCATTCCATTTTAGAGAAACCCTAACAAGTGAGGCTTGAATTTTCCTTCAAAATTCAACTTTACAATCAAAGCTGAAGAGCTTTTTAGTGATGTTACGGCTTTAAACTTTAAATATCAGAATTTAGGTAATATGTTTTTAGGTAAGAATGCGGTCAGCATGCCAGCAAGTTTGATAGCTGCCACTCTGAGTCTATCATTGAGCTGCAGCTGAATATTTTAACGCAAAAGATTTTCAATCTAGTTGCCATTGTTTTTACCATTACTTTTCAGATTTCAGTTTCTATTCATCACTTTTCTCCTCCTTTACTGGCTGATGAAGTCTCACGTGAGTAATCTGATTACCAATATCCGTTCGACAAGAGATAAGAGACGGTAAAAAAAAAAAAGAAATTACCAATCCACTCACGTCCGTTGATGAGAAAGAGAAAGAAAATGTTGCATTCGCTTTCAATCCTTGCATCCGGTCATTGGAGCCCGGAAATCTCCAATAAAATAGCTCCGAGATTGGGGAAAACTCTCGCCTAAAATTACCTTTCATTTCCCCTTCGTTTGTTTTGTTTTACCTTCAACCCCTTCCATCCATTCTCCTCAAATTTTTCATTAAAATGTTTTTCACCAAATCTATGATCTCATTTCTTGGTTTTACGCTTTGAAAAGCTTTTCTTGAAAAGTTGAAAAGAAAAAATGGTTATTTGTATTTAGATACCACTCAGGATTTTATAACAGTTAAAATTCTCGCGAAATTAGCATTTTGGATACTTCTAATAATTCTGGAGCTAATAAATGACACTTCGGTGTCATTTATGTCATTTATTAGATTCATCAATCGCTTCGGCGTCAAGTGATGATTCTGAATAGAGTGTGTTCCCCGCGCGTAAGTGATTACTCGAGCAATAGCTCGAGTAATTGTCGAGTAATGCGTTTTCGAAAAAGTGCGCCTACGCGAAAAAAATATAAAAGCAATTTTTTGCGCAGGTTTTTCGAAAAAAAATCAGTTTTTACATTTTGGAGGGAATTCCCCACCAAATCAGTTAAACGGCTGAGTATCTTTAAAAAGTGTCGTATATAATGCGGAGCTCGTGATTTTTGCGTCATTTTTTTTGCAATAATTTTTGCTAAAAGTACGGCAATTTTTTCCCAAGTGTGCGTTTCAAAAAAACGCATTAATCGCGAGGAACACACTCTAATCCTGAATATCTTGCAGACCGCATGCGTAAGCGGTGGCAATCAACTTTAATTGCCCTACCGTAAATACTGTAATAGTACCCCACCCCCATAATGACGGTGCGGAGTGTTGCGTAGTATAGCTTTGGACGAGTTTTTCTCGACACTGGTTTATGCTACAATGCGCGCTTAGGTATCAAAAAATAGCCCTGAATTTCAGCTATTTTTTGATACCAAAGACGCATTTTTTGAAAGTACAGGCGCTTTGAAAAAAATGAAATACTAAAAAACTTTTGCGACTACGCGACTGTACGAGGGGGGGGGGGTCGGGTACTATTATAGTATTTACGGTATCAACTTTTGATGGTAGTTTAGTTGACTACCATGGTCGTAACGTAAAGTAATTAGTGTTTAGATAACACTTTTATACCCAATTTACCTTTAATCTTTAAAAAGTAGATTGAATTTATTTAGAAAATTTATATTATAAATTATTTTGGAAAAAATATTCAAGAAACGTATCGATGCTTTAGATCTAGTGGCTCTTTGCCGTAAGTAATTGGCTTATTGATTTCAGTATGTATTGTATGATTAAGTATCACTGTGCATTTCTCTATGATTTCTTTCACTTTATCGTTTGAATAAAGTATTATTATTATTATTAAAGATCTATTTTCTGAAATTATTCTAAAATTGAAATAAGAAAAGAGAGCATTTTCTAAAACATGTAACACTTTTGAAAACACTCTACTCTGTCTAGTTGTTATCTAATTTTAGTTTTTATATTCTTTAGCTTCTTTAGCATCCTCTAGATCAAAAGTAAAAAGATTACAGTATTCTTCAAAAATTTTACACGTTTTAGAAAGCTTTTTTGCAAAGATAACAATAAGAAAACACTTTTTTTCAGCATTGTTGACGCACAGATGCTACAAAAAAAAATAAATGGATGGATAATTGCTGAATGGCAAGGGTAACTGGATATTGAGGAGAAGAGTTGAGAAAAACACTCACCTCCATTCGATTCTTTCATTATCACTTCATTGTCGTCATTTCATTCTTCCGTTTTCGAAATTCGAAAATTTTTTTAAATGAATCTACATTAAATTGATCCTTCACGCTTTTTTTTCCTCATTTTCTAATCCGATTTTGCGTCATGTGGTCACCATTTTTTTTAATTGATTGAAGAAGATACATTTAAATAGAAACCCTGCAAAACTTCTTTCAGAAAAACGGCAAAAACCTAAATCATATTTTCAGAATTTCAGAATTTCAAATTTCAAATTTCAAAGTTTTCTAGAGATTTATTGCCTCTTTTTTTGGACAGATTTTTGACAGCTTGGACAGATTCATCTCTAATTTCCTAGAATGATAAGTGAGAAGGAGGGAAATGACAAAAAAGAGTTCAAAATCCGGCTAATCACCAAAGCAAAAAAAAAAAACTTTTGAGTGGGTTTTCTTTCATTCTCTTTTCTCTTTTCTCACTACAACATTTATCCCCGAGGATCAAAAGTGTCTGAATATTTTATAAACACTTTTCTACTTTCTTGTTTTATCATTTTTTTTTCTTCAATCATCTCGGATCAGACACACACACACATCACTTTTGTGTAGTTTTATAAAATTGTTGTTGGTAAAGTTGTTGGTAAAGTTGTTGATAAAGTTGTTGCTAAAGTTTTGCTAAAGTTATTGCTGAAGTTGTTAATGAAGTTGTTGTTGTTAAAGTTGTTGTTAAAACTGTGTTGATCTAAGATTTTCCGGTCAGTCCTGGTTCCCGAAAACATATTTGTTTCCAGAGGCAGTTTTCTCAATATTTCAACTGGTTGTTGATGGGTCTTTTTCTTTCTATCAATATGTGAAAGTGGGGGTTGATGATGAGGATCCCATCGAAAACAATGACAGCTGTCAGAGGAAAAAAAAGCTGTTCACTTTCATCTAAGTAGTAATATCTTGAGATCTAACATACAAAAAACTCGCGAAACCAAAAACCCACACGAGAATTTAAAAAATGTTTGTACTGTTTTGTTGTCTTTTACGGGGGGTGGGACAAATGCGACCTTTTTTTGCGCACCTGGACATTTGCGCACCTTTCTTTTTGCTGGAAAAGGCCTTAGGAAAGGCCGTAGAGCTTCAAAAATGTTTCCATAGAAGGGAATCGTATGCGTAGATTCCGAATTTCGACAAATCAGACCTCGCTGACACGTCAAATTTGGGCTAAAAGGCAAAAACTACGCAACTTAACGCTTTTCCGCAGTTTTTGCCTTTTAGCCCAAATTTGACGTGTCAGCGAGGTCTGATTTGTCGAAATTCTGAATCTACGCATACGATTCCCTAGTATGGAAATATTTTCGAAGCTCTACGGCCTTGCCTAAGGCCTTTTCCAGCAAAAAAAAGGTGCGCAAATGTCGAGGCGCGCAAAAAAAAGGTCGCATTTGTCCCACCCCCCTTTTACGGGCCTTTTGTTTGCCAAAAGCTGAGTATTTATAAGGAAATTCATAACCGTAAACAGCCAGCTTTAATAGAAGAGCCAGCTCCTTTAGCTTTCAATTTTTTTCCTCTAAAATTCTTTTTCGTGCCCTAACTACAGTATACCCAAATTTTGAAGAGCTCAAAAATACAGTCGACTCTCTATAAAGGAATGGACTAAAAATGCCGTTATATATAGTTATATATAGCTGTGCACTTTCATCTAAGTAGTAATCAAAAAAGCATCTTTTTTGATCAGTGGGGATCAAAATTCCATTTCGTTATATAGACTTTTCCGCTATATATATAATAACAAATTTGTAACGCTATATAATAACAAATTATCCGTTTAAAAAGTTTCCAACGGAACTTTATATATAGCGGAAAAGTCTATATAACGAAATGGAATTTTGATCCCCACTGATCAAAAAAGATGCTTTTTTGATTACTACTTAGATGAAAGTGCACAGCTATATATAACTATATATAACGGCATTTTTAGTCCATTCCTTTATAGAGAGTCGACTGTATTTTTGAGCTCTTCAAAATTTGGGTATACTGTAGTTAGGGCGTTATAGCGTTCCGTTACAAAGAGAGTCGACTGCAGGTGTTTTTGTTCAATTTTCATCTGGTTTTCAATGTAATTAACCTTTTTTTTAAAGTCTATAACTATTATTTAAAGGCTTTAAAGTCAGTCTTTAAGTTTTTGAAAGTACAGGCGCTTTGAAAAAAATGAAATACTAAAAAAACTTGTCGTTAGGCATTTTGCTATACGAAAAAATGCCAAAAAAATTCGTCTAAATGGAGCTCTTCAATTAGGACAAATACGTAGTTTTTTCTCTTACCCATTTATTAGGTTGTTCGGATATAAACAATCGTTGCTAAACTTTTTTGTTGTGGGAGAAGCTTTTAAAACATATCTTTCTGTATTTAAAAGTACGTTATCTTGCGCATATTTGGAAACTTTTTAAACGGATAATTTGTTATTTTTAAGATCTTTTTTCTTGCTTTAGATGACCGACTTCGAACATCAAGTTCGCGTCCACGTACTCGATGATCAGACAGTCCACGTACTCGATTGATCAGACAGTCCACGTACTCGATGATCAGACAGTCCACGTACTCGATGATCAGACAGTCCACGTACTCGATTGATCAGACAGTCCACGTACTCGATGATCAGACAGTCCACGTACTCGATGATCAGACAGTCCACGTACTCGATGTCCACGTCATACTTTACCACTTCAGTCTGGGCAAAAAAAAGCCGCGGAATACCCATCGAGATTTGGTCAAAGCATTTGGGAATGATGTATTGTCCGAAAGCCGATGCCGAGCCTGGTTCCGA